TTTTTCTTGCACTTGCACAAAGAGATTCAAATTTATGATATTGAACAAAATAAGTAATTCGCTATCGGGTCACTGAATGTTCTGGTCTACTGATCACTTGACTGTCAGGCTTGTTTACAGGCCACCGTCGCCTCACAACAGGGCAGCTGTGCCGCGTGACATATACAACATATACTCAACAACAAAAGTTCCCGTGACACCAATATTTTAGTGTATTTTTCAAACAAGTGAAGTTTGGTTTTCAATATTGTAGTACATGTATGGAATCAAGTCATAAAAATGCAACTGCTACAGAAAATCATGCACTCCATGCAAAAGTTGACATTTATGCAAGCCCCATGCATTTCACTGTCCAAGAATGGGTATAAAACATGTGCGTTAACGGGAATCCATATGCATTGTTTAGCATCGTGCTGACAACAACCACTCAGAAAAACAACAAAATTACGCAATTATTCAACTTTATGAAATGCCACGCCTGTCAGAAAATGGGCGTCTTCGAGCCATTGGTATGCTTAAAGCAGGATCGAGTCAACGTGATGTTGCAAAACAAATAAACGTCCTAAGAAACACCATTTGGTGTTTATGGCAACGTTGGCAACAGACGAATGCAGAGTGGCAGGCAACGCGTAACCAATAATCGACAAGACAACTGGATTCGAACAACATACCTCCGAAATCGATTCCAGCCAGCAACAGTGACTGCAAGCAGCATCCCTGGCCTTTGACGAATATCTTCACAAACCATAGGTCGTCGCATCACATGTGCGGGGGTTGTCGCCAGAAGACCCGACAGACGTCCAATTTTGACAGGAAACCACCGTGTTGCAGACAGCGTCTACGCTGGACGGCCATGCAGTGGGGACAAGTTCTATGCACTGACGAGTCTCGTTTTCACCTGAGCCACAGCGATGGACGGATTCAAGTGAACCTACGTCAAGGTGAACGTTACGTCGATCATAGTGTCATGAAGGAGGTTCGGAGGCGACAGCGGTATGGTAGGGGGTGGGGTTACAGCAAGACAGAGGACCTGTTTGATAGTGGTAGGGGGAAATCTCAATAGAGAGCGCTTCATCGGCCCTATTGTTCTACCATTTTTTAGTATCATGGCCCAGGCATTACTTTTCAACATGAAAAGGCCCAGCCTCACATTGCTCGACTTGTTCAGGATTCCCTTCAACAAAACAACGTGAATGTCATCCCCTCGCCGGCTCGTTCCCCTGATCTCTCACAAATCGAGCACATGTGGGATGAGATGGATCGGCGCCTTCCACGTGAACCACGTGTTCCTCAGACACTCCAGGAACTTCGAAACATGCTCCAGCAGATATGGACAGGGCTTTCTGCGACGCCTGGTCCATTCCATGAGACGAAGATGAGTTGCTTGCATCGCAACCAGAGGTTGATTGATTTGCAAATTGACATTTTGGCATGTTCATGTTTCTTTTCGAATCACACATTTTCTGAAGTCAATATGGCAAAATAAACCATTGAACATTTACAGGAGTCTTTTATCTCTTGTAAGCCGATTTGTTTTTCAGATTTGGTAAAAAACATAACTTGCAATGTTGAAATCTTATTCAATGTCACAGGAACTTTTGTTGTTCAGTATATTAATGTTTGTTCTCAATACACAAGTATAACACTCTTATTTCCTTTTTAGGCGACCAGTGCAAGGACAACCAGCACTGCTCAGACTGTGACAGAAGTACAGGAGATTGCCTCACAGACTGTGACACTGGCTATTTTGATGGGAAATGCAGGTCCATGTGTTACAAGAACTGCAGAAACCGCTCATGCCAGTTGTCAAGCTCTGGCTCAGGTGCTTGCACTGAGGGTTGTGTCCCTGGATATCAAGGTCTTTGGTGCAGCATACGTTGTTACAGTCCAGGAGGTACCTGTGTAGCATGTCCAGGTGGGTGTGATGGAGGAAATTGTCATCTGGGCTACCCCTGTGTGTCCAGATGTGTAGACTCCTATTACGGGACTGACTGTAAGACTTGTTCAAGTAGATGTAAGTCCTGCAACAGGATGACATGATTGTGCAAGGAATGTCACCCTGAATATTTTGGTCCGAACTGTGCATATTCCTGTGATCACTGCCTAGGATCGTGTACATAGATGCGCAGATGACTGTCGTCCTGGATTCTATGGCACTTTCTGCGACAAGAAGTGCAGTGAACAATGCGGACTGGACTCCGACATTTCTGCTAGCAAGCCTCTACAGACATCCAAGGCTGGTTTACGTCACTGCCACAGAGACAGTGGAGATTGTAGCCACGGGTGTGAAGAGGGCTGGCATGGTCAACAGTGCTCTTCACCATGCAGTCCTTACTGCGCCAATAGACGATGCATGTCTACAGGTGATGTGTAGATGGTCGTGTACCTGGACACTTCGGCAGAGACTGTAAACCCTGCCCTGTCAACTGCCTTCACAACATGTGCCACTCGGACAGCGGGAAGTGTACAGACGGATGTACATGTGGCTGTTATGGTGGACTCTGCCAGCACACGTGTGAAGTGTGTCTTGATGGTGTCTGTGATCAGAAGACTGGTACCTGCACCAAAGGCTGCCACCTGACTGGACGGACGTGTGATTCTACTTGTACATTCAACTGTTCTATTGTGGAATGCCTGAGAATGGAACACTGCAACCAAGGTAATACCTTAGATTTATCATTTAAATCAGGATTCCACAGGATATATCTCACCATTGATACCACATTGCAATGCTATGCAGAAGACATCAGTTGTTTGATAAATAACATGTGACAACTTCTCTTACTCTAATAAGTAGAACTAATTATCATAACTTCTACATTTCAGGTGATAGTGACAGCGGCATTGTCGACTTGAAGATCGGATTATCAACAGCCTTTTCACTTTTTGTTGTGGCCATCCTGTTGGCCCTAATACTGTTCTACTGCAAACATTTAATAACTATCAAGTAAGTACATTAAACATTTATAATCATTGACTATTTTAATTAAACTCAAGAGATATGTGCATGGTTTTAACTAACATCTGATCCACTTTAAACTTCTTCTTTTTAAACGTGTTACCTTTACCATTCGTGTACGTACTTATGTTCTTCTCCCATGGGGATTCTGGCTCAGAATTTGTCTTCAACAACAAATGCTTATCAGGAAACTTTTCTAAGTGACATGGCTGAATGCGAGTCGTTTAAAATTGTTGGTACAGGCAAGACATTGATAGGACTCATCATATATCTGAAATATTACTAATCATGGGGTTGAACAGCAAACAGACAGACTTATGCATTTATTTGCTTCCACAGAGATCACAAAGTACAGGATATCAATCCAAGTGAAGCACCAAGTCATGACGACCAGGTATTGCCCGACTACTGTGAAATCCTTGACGAAGATGTGGACATCATGTATCATCTACCAGGGATAAGCCGAAAAGAATCGGTACAAGCAACTGCCCCAGCCATGTCTGTCCTGGCTGAATGCTTTGCGCCAGACTCAGATAGTGCAGTCAATGGTGCTTCTTCATCTAATCTGTCGGCTCCCACCTCAAGCGGTCCAAAACAGTAGAGAACTATATGTATCTCAAATTGATGAGTGATGCAATGTAAATAAAATCGACAAAACCTTTTTCCAAATTCAACATAAAGTTCTACTAAAAGTTAAGTTCATTGTAGGATTGCGACTATATCAAAAGCATGTGTTTAAGAATCATTATGAAACAGTGATGACACCAGGTATTCGCGAAAAAGTGAGCGTATCCTGCCCCACCGATGGCATCCATCACAAACACATTCATTCAAAGGAAAGTCAATTGTTCACCTTAACAAACACGGGAACAAATGGTACAATCAACATAGGTAATTGCATTGGACATCATTTTATCACCCATGCTTGTAGCAGGAACATGCTTGCTTGTATCTCAAAAGTTGGAAAATGCAAACACCAACTGCTGGAGTCATGTGGACCGTTTTGTAACTCTGAATCTCTACATATCTGAACATGAAACCGACGAGGCAGTTTCACTTATCTCTTATATTTCTCGTTCAAGTGTATAAGTCGGTGCAAGGATTTGGATATTGAACAACATCAGATCAAAACTTATTTTCTGGTGGCCACTGGCAGGAAGGGTCTAGGTGCTCTAGCATACAGCATGTGACTGTGTACATCGATCAATGTAACTGAGAAGGTCACGTGCTGCAGATAATGTGTTTGAAGGACTACTGTCTGCCCGCCTCTTTGGTGTGAATGTTGCTTGCTGTCCATACATTGCCTCACTGTTGACATTAAGGAAGTTTATGTCCCAGTTGGAGTTATTTACGTAACCTCGTGTGTACTGCGTCAATCAGTACTTAATGACGTTTTGTTTTTATCTTTACCCTTGACCAACAATGGTTTTCATCACTTTTTGCCAACTTTGTTACTTTTTTTTCTTTTTTTAATTGTTTCATATATTTGTTTGGTGTTTGCTTTCTTGGTTTGTGAGATGATGTGTGTTTCATTTAATTCCTTTGCTCTGGTTTGTTATTACATTCCAAAACAATATGAGGCATATAACTGGGTCCTGTTCACCGAAACCACATTTGACATTCCTGTTTGAATTCATCATAATATTCATCTTTTGAAAATATATAAGACATTGTATGATAGATAATGTTTCCAAAATCTTATACCCTAGACTGTGGTGTTTGTGGATTGATGAGAGCAGTTTAAGCCTCTCTCTTACTCTCTCTCTCTCTCTCTCTCTCTCTCTCTCTCTCTCTCTCTCTCTCTCTCTCTCTCTCTCCTACCCCAACACTATCAGGACCCCTTCTCTCCGATACACACTGATTCTCTAATGCACGTATATGACGTCACATGTCACTTTGTGGGCGGTCGAAAACGAACTGTAACCACTCAGAAATATCGCAACGTCTTCGTTGATATTTACAGTTAATTCATTTCGGGCAGTCACACCGTAATACCTTGCACATTATATGTTTTTGTCACAATGAAGGTTCTATCCCTTACCTTGGCGCTGATGGATATCATCCAAACACAGTACATGTCAACCACAATGTCGGGCACCGCCTCCCAAGTGATATAACACTTCACATGCAGTGTGTGACGGCCTCGTGATATGCGCATTTACACTACAACTGGTTTGTACCTGCAGTTCTAGAGATAACAGTGTCAATGCATGAGGCTCTTGCATGTGCCAGATAGAAATATCTCCATGGTCTATTTGTTCATGAATGCAAGTCATGTTTATGTGCGGATTGTTTTGACTGTTGTTTCTGGTGTCCCCAACCGTGATATTCCTGGGATATTGCTAAAAGCGGCGTAAAACCATACTCAGTCACTCTCTCTACTATTATTGGGTCTGTCACGTCTGTAATTAGACGAGTCAAAAACGTCAGTGGTTGATATTATGAGCAACGTCCCACGTAGTCATCTTTACCGATCAGCAAAGATTACCGGGGACCTGATGTAACCTGAGTCCCACGTAGTCGGGGTGTGATGATAGACAACCTACCAAGTCACTAGTTATCTCTACCGATCAGCATAGATCACTGGGGACCTGATGTAACCTGACTCCCCACGTAGTCGGTGTGTGATGATAGACAACCTGCCAAGTCACTAGTTATCTCTACCGTCCAGCATAGATTACTGGGGACCTGATGTAACCTGAGTCCCCCGGTAGTCGGGGTGTGATGATAGACAACCTACCAAGTCAGTAGTCATCTCTACCGACCAGCATGGATTACTGGGGATCTGATTTAACCTGACTCCCCCGTAGTCGGGGTGTGATGATAGACAACCTACCAAGTCAGTAGTCATCTCTACCGTCCAGCATGGATTACTGGGGATCTTATGTAACCTGACTCCCCCCGTAGTCGTGATGTGATGATAGACAACCTACCAAGTCAGTAGTCATCTCTACCGACCAGCATGGATTACTGGGGATCTGATTTAACCTGACTCCCCCGTAGTCGGGGTGTGATGATAGACAACCTACCAAGTCAGTAGTCATCTCTACCGACCAGCATGGATTACTGGGGATCTGATTTAACCTGACTCCCCCGTAGTCGGGGTGTGATGATAGACAACCTACCAAGTCAGTAGTCATCTCTACCGTCCAGCATGGATTACTGGGGACCTGATGTAACCTGACTCCCCACATAGTCGGGGTGTGATGATAGACAACCTACCAAGTCAGTAGTTATCTCTACCGACTAGCATGGGGACTAACGTACTTGATCATAGTTACATTGCATTTAAGTCGGACTATTAAATAAAAACAATGTTTCCTAGAATTTATATTAGTTGCGGTATCGTACATAGCAATGACATTCACCGACACACGGGGAATATCCAAGAATGGATAATGATTTGTACTTTCGATGCAATGAAATACGGCACTGGTTACGTCAAGCTATCTAGGCTAAAACATGTCGTGTTTCTGATAAATGACCTCGGAAATAGAAATAGTTTAGCTAACACGAAACTTGTGATTGTTTTCAGTGTTTTATCACAGAAAATAAACAGTGTGTATGCCCAATACTTGGCTGGGGAAACGAAATGCCGGCACAACATGCAGAATACTGCGCTATGTGAATAAGACTTTATTAGCAGTGTACACAGGGCCACAGCGATCACCCGTCACAACCAGTACCTGACATGGACTGTTACATTAGATTACATGTGACATTGAGCAACTATTTAACTAAAAGTGACAGAACCCTTTCCATACATATCCTACATTGTATTCCGACAATATTATAAATGTATGAATAATAATTACATTCCATTTATATAGCGCTGTACTCCATGCATAAGCAAGTTCTAAGAGCTTAGACATTTATTACCCTGGTCAATGGATCAGTGTGCACTCAACAATCATTCTCAGCTCCCTGGGGAGTATACAACCCAAGCTGTCTGTTAGGCTCTCGAAGGTTAACATCCACATTGCCGTTTCATCCTACCGGGTACCCATTCACTGCTTGGTGAACAGAGGCACAATCCGAACAAATTCATTTGCCCAAGGAAACGTAATTGCGTGGAAACATCACACGTGCTGCATGTGCTTCAGTGTGGGGCAGGATCCTAGAAACTCAGAGAGTGATAACCAACTAATGATAGAAACCCTAGAAAATGCTATGAAATGTTAAAACTCTACGACAGTACTGGAAAACGAAATTGGGTAACAAACGTAAAAGAATTATTATTTATTACAGGTTTTCAATATGTGTGGTATAGTTAATGTGGTGTAATTAGAACCGCTCTTTTTTTATGTCCCTCACCTAGAGACTAAAAAATATGTATTTGCAAAAAAGGTTAGAATTAATGTCCAAATCAAATAAATGTTCATATTATAGACTCATGAAAAGGAATATTTAAATTGAGGTGTTGCTCTGTAAACTGGAGTTTAAAAAAATTAGAATTGCACTAGCACGATTTAGATGTTCCTCTCACAACCTGTATATAGAGACTGGTAGATATAAACACACTGATAGAAGAGACAGAGTATGCACATTGTGCAACACAAATTCAATTGAAGATGAGTTTCACTTTCTCCTGGTATGTCAAACTTACAAACATTTACGTGATAAATATTTGCCATCTTTCTACTCTGTACACCCGAATGTCCATAAGTTTGTAGATCTTTTAACTTCATCTCATGATACTATGTTATGTAACCTGTCAACATATGTTTATCACGCGATGTCACATAGAAACGGAATTATTAGATAACAACCTTGTCACCTACATGTAAATACGCATTGTACTGTAGGCCTGTGGCCTTTTAAGTACTGAATAAAATTGATTGATAACCAACTGGCAGCTGTGCTGTTTCTCCAGATATGTTATAGGGCGAGTAAACTGGATCGCATGCAGCTACGAACAAGGTTCATTGTTGGAAATGAAGAAAGCTTAAAGTCACATGGGTTTCAACGTTAACCGGACCCTGAAAGTCCGGGGTAGAATAGGTCTTCAGCAGCCTATACTTGCCGTAAAAGGCGACTATGCTTGTCGTAAGAGGCGACTGACGGGATCGGGTGTTCAGGATCGCTGACTTGTCAATCACTGGATTGTCTGGTCCAGACTGGATTATTTCCAGACCGCCATCATGTAGCTAGAATATTGCTGAGTGTGGCGTTTAACAACAAACATATGACTAGTTTGGGTGCATTTCTAGTCAACATTCTACAAGAATCCCCATCAGTTATTACCACATTGTATCAACCATACAACCTTAAAAAGATGAGCTCTATAAGCACTATAACCTTTTTCTGATATTGGTACATTCAAGACAAATACCTTTTACCGGAAACAGACATATTCTGGGATTCGAACCAACTTTACGGATCCTGCTCAACTAAAGGACGCAGTTGTGATATTTAGACCATCTGAAAAGTAATGCAATGCGACCATTCTTTTCAGACATTTGGTATTAGATATCCTTAAAGTGATACACTTGAGTGCCATTTTGGAACAGTATTTCACAGAGTATCAGTTTCCTATTGGAAGACAGACTGAGGTGCCGCAGATCCTGGTAATTTTGGATACGGAGATGATACTCATAAACCGAGGCCCATAAGCCAAGTGATGGAAAAACACTGTTACCAGGAAGTGATAACGTTATGAATATATGCAGTAACTGTGTTATATTTGTCACATAAGATCGCATAGACAAAACATTTTCTTCTCATTGGAGCCGACTACATGTGTAGTTTACAACGAGTGACCTGGCTCATCGAGCCCCTGAACCTATATTGTCAGATTTCATGTTGTCCGTTGCATGATTTTAACCCTAATATAGCTGTAACACTTCGACTGTCCAGTCTGATCTACCTGCATATACTAACACCACGTGGTACTGTCCGTATGAGAGAAGGTATTGAAAGGGCAGCCTACTGTGATTATTTCTCATGGATATTTACACATCCTCACCCTTACCTTGGCATCGCTACTCGCTTGCGGCAACAGATCCTCACTGACACCATGCTGCCTACCACCAATGGAATTAGTGATGTCGAGAGGTGACTATCTGTATACCGCTGGTGTCCAAATATAAAGAAATAGGTAAATAGGAATATAATATTACACATTCAACTGAACCGATTACAGATTTAAGCCACAGGTAGCATTGTACTATTATAGTTACCTTGGTTGCAGTGTTCCACTTTCAGGCATTCCGCTACAGAACAGTTGAACGTACATGTAGAATCACACCTCCGTCCAGTCAGGTGGCAGCCTATGGATCAGGTACCAGTCTTCTGATCACAGACACCATCAAGACACACTTCACACGTGTGCTGGCAGAGTCCACCATAGACGTCACGTGTACATCCGTCTGTACACTTCCCGCTGTCCGAGTGGCACATGCTGTGAAGGCAGTTGACAGGGCAGGGTTTACAGTCTCTGCCGAAGTGTCCAGGTACACAACCATCTACACAGTCACCTGTAGACTTGCATCGTATATTGGCGCAGTTAGGACTGCATGGTGAAGAGCACTGTTGGCCATGCCAGCCCTCTTCACACCCGTGGATACAATCCCCACTGTCTCTGTCACGTAAACCAGCCTTGGATGTCTGTAGAGGCTTGCTAGTAGATATGTTGGAGTCCAGTCCGCATTGTTCACTGCACTTCTTGTCGCAGAAAGTGCCATAGAATTCAGGAAGACAGCCCTCTGCGCACCCATGTGCACACGATCCTAGGCAGTGATCACAGGAATATGCACAATTTGAACCAAAATATTCAGGGTGACATTCCTTGCACAATCATGTCATCCTGTTGCAGGACTTACATCCACTTGAACAAGTCTTACAGTCAGTCCCGTAGTAGGAGTCTACACATCCAAACACACAGGAGGAGGCCAGCTGACAATATCCTCCATCACAACCACCTGGACATGCTACACAGGTACCTCCTGGACTGCCACAGTGTATGCTGCATCCAGGACCTTGATATCCAGGGACACAACCCTCAGTGCAAACACCTGAGCCAGAGCTTGACAACCGACATGACCGTTTTCTGCAGTTCTTGTTACACATGGACCTGCATTTTCTATCAAAATACCCAGAGTCACAGTCTGTGAGGCAATCTCCTGTTCTGTCACAGTCTGAACAGTGCTGGTTGTCTTTGCACTGGTCGCCTAAAAATGATTGGAAACTATCTTTACTTCTTCTCATTTGACATGCATGCAAAAATATTTTAATGTAATCTTATTCAACATCATTTAATCATCAATATTATTAATTTCGTTCCTTGAAATTACACAAACATAACGGATAATATGGTGTGACATATGGTATGGTGTGACCATTTAAAGCAATGACCTCGATATAGGAGAATACATGGTTTATCGTTTTACCTTCAGCAAACAGAACCAGAGATGAAAGACACAGAATAAGCAACACAGTCATGGTTCTTCTGAAAGGAAATAGATAACAGTACATGACCCTGTACATGTCCATACATGAAACATCAGACACACTTGTCATGCGCTGTACGTAAAGAAGACAACGATATCAAGATAAGGTTGATCTTACTGTGGTGTCCTGCAGAATTTGTGTGGTCTAAATGCTTTCAGATGCGCTATTTGATTCCCCCATACAGGGAATAAGAATCACACTTGATACTCGTTTTAATAATGCACAATTTCCTTGTGGTTACCCTGCGGCATGTAAACCTGCGGCAAGGATTGTCAGTGTCCTTGTGGTTACCCTGCAGCATGTAAGCCTGCGGCAATGAATGTCAGTTTCCTTGTGGTTACCCTGCGGGATGTTAACCTGCGGCAAGGAATGTCATTGTCCTTGTGGTTACCCTGCGGCATGTTAACCTGCGGCAAGGAATGTCAGTGTCCTTGTGGTTACCCGGCGGCAAGGAATGTCAGTGTCCTTGTGGTTACCCTGCAGCATGTAAACCTGCGGCAAGGAATGTCATTGTCCTTGTGGTTACCCTGCGGCATGTAAACCTGCAGCAAGGAATGTCAGTGTCCTTGTGGTTACCCTGCGGGATGTAAACCTGCGGCAAGGAATGTCAGTGTCCTTGTGGTTACCCTGCGGCATGTAAACCTTCGGCAATGAATGTCAGTGTCCTTGTGGTTACCCTGCGGCATGTAAACCTGCGGCAAGGAATGTCAGTGTCCTTGTGGTTACCCTGCGGCATGTAAACCTGCGGCAAGGAATGTCAGTGTCCTTGTGGTTACCCTGCGGCATGTTAACCTGCGGCAATGAATGTCAGTGTCCTTGTGGTTACCCTGCGGCATGTTAACCTGCGGCAAAGAATGTCAGTGTCCTTGTGGTTACCCTGCGGCATGTAAACCTGCGGCAAGGAATGTCAGTGTCCTTGTGGTTACCCTGCGGCATATAAACCTGCGGCAAGGAATGTCAGTGTCCTTGTGGTTACCCTGCGGGATGTAAACCTGCGGCAAGGAATGTCAGTGTCCTTGTGGTTACCCTGCAGCATGTAAACCTGCGTCAAGGAATGTCAGTGTCCTTGTGGTTACCCTGCGGCATGTAAACCTGCGGCAAGGAATGTCAGTGTCCTTGTGGTTACCCTGCGGGATGTTAACCTGCGGCAAGGAATGTCAGTGTCCTTATGGTTACCCTGCGGGATGTAAACCTGCGGCAAGGAATGTCAGTGTCCTTGTGGTTACCCTGCGGCATGTAAACCTGCGTCAAGGAATGTCAGTGTCCTTGTGGTTACCCTGCGGCATGTAAACCTGCGGCAATGAATGTCAGTGTCCTTGTGGTTACCCTGCGGGATGTAAACCTGCGGCAAGGAATGTCAGTGTCCTTGTGGTTACCCTGCGGCATGTAAACCTGCGTCAAGGAATGTCAGTGTCCTTGCATCATGTAGCCGTCACCGTCACATGCATGTATGATGCTTATGATGCCAATCAATGGATTGTCGGGTCCAGACTATTATTAATAGACCGCTGGAAAGTGTGGTGTTAAACAACAAACAAACACTAATTTTCACGGCTATTTTGCACTTTGCGCTAAGTAGAATCTGTTTCAGGGGCAAATATGGACATGTTACTCTCTTTCTTTGACAATTTATATTTAGTTCGAGTTTTCGTGGAGGGAGTTTATTCAGCGGTATCGCACAGGGCATGACGTCACCTGTCGCGCTAGCACAGAATCCAAAACGTATACATGCCTATAATAGCTAACTGTTATATATAACTCTAGGATCACCTTCCGGAAGGAATATCTTAAATATCGTTTATTTACAGACCGCCGTCACGCCACTGGGATAATTCTGAGTTCGTTGTTTAACAACCCAAACAAACACACATGCCCTTTTAATACCTGGGTACGATTTTCTTCCTTACACAACAGCTACATCTGCTCACCCGCGAATAGCTGCACAATAAATACCCATTCACTTTACTTCTGGTTGAGTGGTAGGTTTCAGTCTAGAATAGTGATAGTTTTCGAGTGCACGTCAGGAATTTTCCCACAGCGTCACACAACTGAAATAGTTTCTAACCCAAGCCACTAAGCTTAGAGCTTACATAAAACAAAATGTAAATATATTGACCTTTTGTTAACTATGATAATTCGACGGAGGTGCAGAGTTGAAATACAGATTGTGAACACTGAAATTGTCTTTCTGCATGTTCAAGATTAGTGTGAAGTTCTTTCTCAGAAAATTTGATTTGATCCAAGGGGAGCGTTGTGAAGTTTGAACGTGTGTATGAAGTTAATTGTTCACTTTTAACATTCAATGTGTGTCAAATACAAATACGTCCCACAGTTGCGATGCTATGTCTTTTTCAATCTATATTTCTGTGCAAGCATGTGTTGTTGTTTACCGCACGACTGTACACACAGTGTTTAAGATATCGATATATGACGTCTTGATTCATGCGTCAGTTTTCGGGGTGGTAGGGTAGCCTAGTGGTTAAAGGGTTCGCTCGTCACTCCAAAATTCCCGGGTTCGATTCCCAACATGGGTACAATGTGTGAAACCCATTTCAGGTTCCCCCGCCGTGATATTGCTGGAATATTGCTAAATGTGGCGTCAAACTATACTCACTCACTCAATCAGTTTCCAGAAATGCCCCATGTCAGCCATTATTCAACTCGACTTGACAGCCTGTACAAAAAACAACCCAGAGCAAGCAAACTAGTTAGAACAGAGTCCCATATCACGCCATCCTTTTGTGATAAGGATGAGTTACTGAGGCCTTATTTTAATATAGTATTGGCATATTGGCGAAACAAGTACGTGTAGTTATCACTCGACAATGACAATGTGACTGTTAACCATTGCTGCACAAGCCCAATTTGTACTGCGTATTCTAATTGTGGTCAGATTCAGTATGCAACGTTGTCAAGTCGGTGACTGGTGGTAACAGGGACAGCCATCTATATCTGTGTATCACTGTGACGTAATAAAAGAGTCGTGGTATCCCCGGGAATAGCAACTTTTTCCAGTTCATATTTGTTTTATACGCGGCATATAGATCGTTGTTGATGTGTTTCTATAGCAGGTTGTTTGTTGTCTTTCATTTCATCCGCGCGACAGAGTCCGTCTGAATACAAATACTTCCGGCACAGATTGAAATACCACTGCGTCAAAAACCCTTACCGTATTCGACGTAATAAGCGCTCCGCTCTAATAAGCTCACAGGGCGATATTTGCTAATATATTGGCTAGTGAACAATCCCAATTAGCACCCCTTCCAATTGAGCAATGTATACAGAACTCACTTATTCGTGTAGATTACGCACTCGTGTGTTATATGCACCCTTAATTATGGGCAGTTAAATTCTTGGAAAATATATCTGTCGTGTATAATACGCTCAGACTTTTCTTTTGTATCATTTGAGGCTGTCAGCATAAATTTACGATCTCACAACTCTTTCATCAAAATTATATTTCAATAAGTGCCCCCTTTCTCTAATTTTGAGAGCGCCCTGGGCGCTGATTACGTCGAATACGATATTTAGATTTTTAGGTTCATTTCGAACATGAATATCAACATTACTGTCGTATATCTCATTTTGGCATTTGAAGGACGGATCAAGTATCTACACACACTGGAGACAAGAGTGCACTTATCTCGCTGGCCTAGCTGGTTGTATTCATTCAACTAACTGGTGACATGTGCTCTGTGGTAATACTAAACATGTTACATCCCTGAAGAAGTGTGACGTTTACATCAACAATTATTCTTTCTATCCATTATATGTCAGAGCAAATGTCGCATGTTATTCAGGTGTAGCTCCTGGAGTCCTACAACTGAATGTTTTTTGCACATATTTCTTAAGATTATGGAACTAGCGTCGTTAAAATTTCATTTCTATATCTATTCTAAATGGCTCGATTAATAATGTAACAGTCGTTGTTCTGTTTTATAGTTGACCAATGTTGGCATATAATGGCATATGTGAAAAGATGCACGATCATATAATAAAGAGTGAATATCATTTCCTGAACATGAATTGAAAGGTGAGTTATGGAGTCATGCCATAAAGAGTTATTTCCCTTTAAGCACATAACACCAGTGGCACTCTACCTTGCTGTGTGTGTATGGGAGCAGTATTTAACGCCGTTGTCAACTGTAGTCAGGTTATATTGCCGCCCTTCACATTAATGATGCAGGGGGCTGACAGTCTTCCCACAACGTTACGTAGTTTCGAGTATAAATATGCTGCCTACTTAACGCAAATCGACACATAATACACTGGACAAAATATCATCCATTCCAACATTTCCAAAACTTGGAAATACCGTCATTCCAATTGGAAATATGACCATTCCAAAATTTGGAAAGGTCATATTTCCAAGCTTGGAAATGTTTGGAAATGTTTGGATTTGTTTGGATTTGTTTGGAAATGTTTGAATACATAGGTGATTTTATGTCTGCTTCTTCTGTCTGCTGGTTAAGCTGTTCAGATCGTTTCCAAAGTGGATTTGCTGCAATATTCTATCCCAACGCTTTAGTTGAATACATAATACTGTTTATAAATGTATTTGACGGTGCAACACATCAAGAATTTACTGCCGCTTCTTCAACTTGTGTGCACTTGAGATTATTATTACGTCGGTAATGCACTCTTTCAAGTGCATCTTTGGCTTAAAGCTTCAAACGAATGCTTTCATAAAATACCCCATTAGATACTTTTCAAATGTTAGGATGTGTTGGCAACACATCATGGTTTTATTGCCGCTTCTTTCAGTTCGTAGGCTTGTATAACGGAACATGGTGGACTTATATGTCTACATATTTGATTTTATGTCACCAAGCTCATTTGTCGATGAAAACATTTCATCTGTAATACGTTACATAAGTGTATCATACTTATGGCCATCATATATTTTGGCAATATTTAGATATCGCAACACATCATGATTTTATTTCAAAGATGCAAAATAAAGGTCACTGAGGGTAGATTTTTTATTTAATTTGTATATAGCGTAGTACAGTGAATTTCTCTTGGTTGTTTAACAAGCTCACATAAAAGATGTAAGCCTCAATAAATTAAGAATTATGTTTCTACTGGTGCTTCTTCTGGTTCTCAGTTTGTTGTTGCGCTTTGTTCAAATATTTTGTAATATGAACTTAGCACCATAAATGATTTGAAATTTATCACAGGATGTACACCACCACAAGAGAGGCATCGTGGTTTTACTAGTGCTATTTTACAAATCGAATATACCTTTATCAGACATGGCGATGCGATTGAACACCGGATTGGTACCCTGTTATATATGGCTGTTTCCCTCTCTGTTTCTCAGAACTAATCCATAAATTGATAGCATTATAACTAAACTGCTGTCGAGGTGTTCATTCCAAATCTTACATTTCACCAAGCCATGCAGAAATAACAAAAATACAAAACACAGGATGAACGTGAATTTATATTCAGGATATCATGTCATAGTTCAAGGTATATGTACAATAAATAACACTTGGGCACATCACTGGGTAATGATCATACATGTATACAATTATATCTACAATAATACACATACAAGAACTAAAATATAGAATGTACAATTAAAATTTCTATTTAAAGCAAAACTTTACAACAACAATAAACCAATAAATTACACACACACAAATCTGTCCCTTGGTGACACAAATGTAACTGTCCTGGTACCTATTTGTCCCTCAATTTTGACGAATTTACCCTTAATTCGTTGAATGGGCATAAACGAAGATGGACCAGAGTCAACATACATGGAAGAGTGCCAGGCTTCCACTGGTCGGCCACAATGTTTTTTTAGTTTATCTTCAAGTTCCCGATACCATTGAACTTTTGCAAGGATGTGTCTCTTCTCTATGCCGTCAACTCTTGCTGAGTGCTGAAGGTATCTCAATACCTTTCCAGGTCTCGGAGAAACCCCCCAACCAATTTTCCCGTCCCCGTCTGTCCAGTAGGCAGTGATGTAAGAAGATCTCACACTTTGAGACTTGGCAGATCCAAAGACTTCTGATCCAAGGTATAGAGTTTTTATTTCCCTAACGGCCGGCAAAGTCTCGACTGTTTCGCCATAGAGGGCTCTGTACATTTCTTGAAGGGAGTATTCATCATTTTCAGTGAGGCCACGGACTTTATATTTTGAAAAAATGAACCTGTCAATGTCAGTCCACTGAAGGTTTTCAATGTGATGAAGTCGGGATGACATCTGTCGGAGCTGCAAGCATTCACTTGAATTAATCTTGCCAAGAGTACCCACTTTAATGTTAGCTGTAACAGTGGCGATGATCGGCTCAAGGGTGTCTCCAAAGTGAAACTCGTCATCTAAGACCAATCCAAGGAGATGAGAATGGCTTACGAAACGTCTCATCAGCTGCAGTTCTACGCTTTTCTTGTTAGTTGTGTAGTCGCCCAGCATACCATTAAACCGTTCAAAACTGAACAGCCAAAACGAGTAAATGGGTCCAAAGTCCTGAACACACTCAATCAGATGACCATGCAAGTGCATGTTAGGGGTAACTCTGTCACGGCCATATAATCGCTCAAAATTCTCACAGAAGCGCATCAGTAATAAATCTGCCATTTTTATGTCATTTTCAGTTAATACTCGGCAACACAAATATCTACAGGCCAATACAAAATTTCGCCAACATTCTAAATGATCATCAGAAATAACATCCTTCAGTGCATACACAGAAAACAGTAACGTCCAGTTTTTAAACTGGTCTGCACTAAACCCTGCAAAACCGGAGGAAATCTTATGTGGGATGCGACCAATGTCACTTGGACAGTTAACTGCATCCACCTTTGCTTGGATAGTGTCTAAGTTCTTGGCAGTTAGTACACCAGTGTCTCTCCATACATGCAACATATGTTTTGATGTCCCCAGAAACAAATTGTGCATAGGGTCCACAACAGACATTTTGATCAGATCAAGGTATGGCAGCTCAGACAAGACGGAGTATCTTGTTCCATACGAACTCGCAAGTGCTTCTCTATCTGTCTTGGTTCTGGCACTTGTGATGTGTCTGATTTCTCGTATATGCTGTTCATGGGTGCGAGGTATCCACTGAGTTCTGTCAAAACCACTGTAGTCTCTTTTGCCGAATTCACCAGGAAAAGACTTCTTGCACCGAGAACACCCTTTGACGGCTGCATGTCCCAGAAAGCCACATAACTTTCGGCAAGCAGGGATATCACATCCAATGCACATTAAGGCCAAGCGAAATATCTTAGAGTTGAATGAAAAACCTACTGTCCATGCTTCAAGAAGCTCATCAACTAAAGGTTGTACAAAACTGTTTGTAGGGGGTTCTTTCTTCATGTGCGGTATAATACCAACAATGATAACATTCTCACGTTTGTAACGTTCTTCTCGAGGTAGATTGAGGATGACTAAATACATTACACCTACAGAGTATTTGACGTGTTTGAATGGCTGAAACCAGTCTAAATTAAGCATAAGGCCATAGTTTCTCTTCTTCTTCAAATATGTCCCACTGAAGCTCTTCCAGATACGACCATCATACACGTCATGCAAAGTACCATCACTAACGACCCTGTCACGCCATTGTTCACATTTCTCCTCAAAACCTGGTCTTGACAAAAAGTTAAAAAGTGAATCTTTCAGAGATTTAAAATAATAGTTCTTATGTGGTACAAGCTTCTTCTTGCCAGAGGAAAGGGTCATACTTTGTAACAGTTGTGCACCACAAGGCTGGCGATAATGTCTCATTGGGTGATTAGGTTGGGAGACGTTTGAACAAGTCATACTGACTTCTTCTCCTTCGAAAACAGAAATACAGTCAGAATATCTATATATGCTACAGCATGCTGGGCATACAACATAGTGGAAAAAGTTATTGTCGTCAATTCTGAGTAATTTCTTGAGCAGGAAAATAGTACTTGGGAACATCGGTACTACAACAGCAAGGAACTTGTAATGCTGAGCGGCAACGGCGAGAAGGGCATGAAGGTATTTCAGAAGGAATGCGATGGCATTTGAGGAAATATAAAATACAGACTGCCAAATGCAGAGGAAGAAACATGTCCATAAGATGAGTGCCTTAAAAAATGGTTTCACTTCCGGTGAGGCAGGTTGAGAGGATTCAGCTTGCTGAGGTTTTCTCGGTTGAAAACTCTGAAGCAGATCGTCAATCTCATCTTCATCAAAGTATACCTCTTCATCATCGTCAGAGCTGTCTTGAGATGCAGGTTCAGGTTCTGTACTCGGACAAGTGCCTTTGTGTCGCTTGTAATTAGAAGAAGAGGAAAAAGAGTTTCCACAGTCTTCACAGCGTTTTCTCTTCATAAAGGAGGCCATGATTCCTGAAAAAGATAGTAACAAATTAGTAGTTTGTACATAAGATAGACAATACATCTAAACCTGTTACATTAATAAACATACACATCATCCGTTCATGTGGGAAGTACCTATATGCCTACAGCATAAAGAGGTCAATGAACAGATAAATGTTTATTGATAACTATTTCTAAAGTGACGGAATATCCGTTTTGTTAAATATACTTTTAGTATTTTGTGTGTGTGTGTGTGTGTGTGTGTGTGTGTGTGTGTGTGTGTGTGTGTGTGTGTGTGTGTGTGTGTGTGTGTGTGTGTGTGTGTGTGTGTGTGTGTATGTGTGTGTGTGTGAGGTAGAAGAAGAATTGTACACCATAAAAATGGCTACGTATGTAGTTGGGGTAGATATGTTGAATGCCCGGCCAGTATGACCTTTGAGTCACTACAGTTTCAGTCATTAAAATGCGTAAAACAGTATTTGAGTGAAAGAAAACACTATAAGTGAGTGAAACGAAATACCTCAGTACAGGCACACCCAGTCCCACAACCCCAAGTCTGCATGTATCAATACTCATACCTGCCACATCCTCAATCACTTAACTTACTCACACAATCATCTGACAACATGTTCGCCAACCCTCGTATCACAACGCATGCACGCATGCACGCACGCACACTCGCACACACCCCCACCCACATCACATTCTTCTTTCCCCACCATTATGTCTACGTCAGCCAACATGGATCCATGCACATGCTTTCATACATAATCCATCCTCCCACCATTCCCCAACATCCATCGAACTATAACTATATCCGCCCTCATGTATCGGTATTCGTGCTTTCATACATACATACACCCCTCTACCATTCCCCTACATCCATCGCAGTATAACTATGACTATAACCGCCTTCGTGCATCTGCACTTATGTTCACATTGCATTGCATATGCATCGAATTACACGTTTAAAATATCGTAAATATTTTACAACATGTACATATTATATATCAGCAAACAGAGATTATAACGCAATAGATTTCATCCGTCAAAACATCACAGAAAGAGGGGCAGCCTGGAATTTTACAATGGCATCTGAATGCACTAAGACGTTCAACTGGTCAGGAGGTGAGAGTTGCGGAAGATTACGGTAAATTTCAGTTACAGATCTCCATTACGAATATCTAAAGTATGAATAAAGATCACAGCTTGCTATGACGTGTACTTCATGACTGCAGAATTTGCAATGTCCTTAGCTCTAAATTGTATGTCTAAATGCTTATGTAGACAAAGACCCAAATGTATATAGGCATGACCATATTATATTGTACGCACATATCACCACATTTAAAAACAAAGCTAGATTGAGTCTTTTAAGGGCATTAAGAACTGATACACACAAGGAAATATATTTATGGATGTCAACGGAGGAACACTGCGTTTCGGAATATATACATTCTCCTTCATCAGGTGCATATTATTAAATGCTATGAGGCAGAGAACATATATTTGTACCTGTAAGAACAACAAAAGTAAAACGATAGCAAAGAAGGGAACGCAACAAGGGAAGCCAACAGATAACTGGCATGGCGCTGATTACCCCGCCTCCCGTTTGCCCATTGTCCATTTCCCATTACCAATCATTCATAAGTTAAGTTTTGGCTTTAATTAGTCCATTGATAATCAACCATCAACGTCTATTATCTCCACCCTAAAAATATGTAGTTTACTGAGAAAGTGGTATCCAAATATAATGTGTGTTACTGTTGATCACTTTCTTAAAGGCATTTTGGTTCAAAGCTTTCGGTCATAGAAGCCGTGCCATTTGTCTCTTGTCAGAGGAGTACACAAAGTATACGTCATCTGGACTAACATTTTTGGTTCGGTGGCTGGGTTAGATCGCCAACTTTGTGTTCTGGCGATTGGGTGCCTCACTCACAGTGTGGGTTCAAATCCCGGACGGGACTCAACCCAAGAAAGTACGAGAATCTGTACTTTACTCAGAAAGTGTTATCCCAATTATAACATTTGTTGTCAAGAAAACACAATAAATGTATATTCGGCTTTGGAAGGGTAATGATATCACAGACATATACGGATATTGATGATGACTTGGAGGAGCTTCGTAACGCACGTCTTCTCAATTCAGGGATTGGTAAATCCAAATATGTGTGTGTGCGTGCGTGCGTGCGTGCGTGCGTAAATGTGGGCCTGTTGGATGTTACATAAAACATTTATCTTGAGCGGGATGGTAGTTCGAGTTGGATTAGCATGTTAACAATATGATCTTCTTTAGGCAGAGAATGCCGCGCATGAATGTATTGATGAAATTCCTAGGTACATGGGGCCTTTTCGTCCTCAGGAATACCCACAGTGGAGACTTCAATGGGGATAGGTTGTACTCAACGCGCTACCTGGTAGATTTTGTGTCATCAGACCGGACAACGTTGGTCTTTGACTGATTGTGGCGTAAAACACACTTTCCATTTACTTATATCGGAAATTGAATGTTCATCTTAATTGATATTGTTGAACATGTAATATATTTTTAAAGAAATAAAACAGTGACATAATAACTACAACTTTATGTGAGCGCGAGTAGCTTTTTTGGAATGAGATGAATAAGTCTTATAAAGTTGTAAGCTTCTTCACAACCGTGTAACTATGAATTGACTTTATTGTGTAATCAAAAAAGAGATAGGACCTAAAATAGCCAAATTTCATACGATTTCACTTGTCCACCATCTTGGATGCAAGGCGAAAACATTTCAGCGCGTTTGAAGCCACTGAGAATGCCCCCTGCAGAGTTGGACGAACATTCTGCGGTGGCGCGGCTGAGTTGACCAGAGGCTATCAGCAGTATTTCCTATCCAGGTTATTTAGGTCAGTTGTTTGTGTGTGTGTGTGTGTGCGTGCGTGCGTGCGTGCGTGCGTGCGTGTGTGCGTGCGTGTGGACGTGCGTGCGTGCGTGTGGGGGGTGGGGGCGGGGGCGTGGGGGGTGATATTGGGGGGATAGATGATAGATTTAGCAACAAGTAAGGTCATCTTGAGTGGGGGGGTATTCGCAGATGGATTAGCATATGAACTATGATTCTCTTTAGGCCGAAAATGAGGATCCACGATGTTCGACCTGGTAGAAGTGTTATCAAACCTCACAGCATTGGTTTTTTGACTGACTGTAGCGTCAAAACAAACTCATTCATTTACTTGAACTGAATGTTCATCTTAATTGTTATGGATAGTCACGGAGCCATGATCCAGAGAACAGGGTGTCATTAGATAGAAATAAACTAAGTAATAATAGGATTACCAGAAAAACGGGGTTTTACACACAAGCCAATAAACTGCGCTCATTAACACCAGAGTAAGTCAGTACAAGATTGAAAACTGCCCCATAATTATGTATGACATGCTTGTCGGGTATTGCTACATATATATGTGAAAACAAAGTTATTAAAATGAAGAGCAAAACTGATGAAAGTTAACAATAAACGTGTATACGTGTTATATCGTCACTGCAAAAATAATGATTGTTTTTCTTTAGTATTAACATTCAAATACGTTATATATGTATCTGTATTAGCGATATTGTCTTTGTTCCGACGGTGAGTCAGCGTTAGCCGTACTATCTCGTAGTATAATTGAATTTCTGAAGACATTACGATACAGTTTTTCTGATGCATCACGTCTGCACTAGCGCTTGATAACAGCCTTGTGTTTGGGTGTTTCAGTGGTTTAAATCGCTGCTCTTGATATTGTTGATTAAACTTTGATACTGTGAACAATATAATGTTATGTGAGAGGTTGACTTTAGAACGGTAACATACTAATAGTATATAGGATGACATAAACAGAACAATGAGAAGTTCGTCCAGATTAGTGTATAGGCAACATTTAATAATTAAAATAATTACATTCAACAACTCCCCTTTTAAGTCCATTTTCCTGACTTATAAGTAAATGCAAGAACAATCGGCCGGAATAAAATGTATAGTTCTTGTCCACTTCCATATGACTATATAGCATACAATAAGCTATCGGGTCCCGTTTAGATCGGTTTGGGCGGCAGCCTAGATAGCCATAGAATAGTTTCATCTTGGAATCTCCCATATCACTGGGGCTCCTCTTTAATTTAAATGGAGTTACTCGTTACGATTCCGAACCTTCACGTGACTGAGTTTATGAACCATTGTCAAATAGTGGTGACATTAAATCTAGGAAACAATACGCGAAGTCGCGCATGCACAGAACGGAAAATTTGGTCAAGGCATTAAGTAATCCGCATGCGCAGAACGATTGATTTCAGTACTTCCGCTAAGCGCTTCGAGTGCAGCGTCAAACGCGGGCCTGTAATCTAACACGCGGAGACTGACCAATGAAATCTGAGAAGTAGAAATACCGGTAGACGCTGTTGCTTGATTGACAATGTCAATCAAGAAAGGGAGGAGCTTAACGCTATCGTTCTCTCCCAGTAAATTCCGATGTCAAATAACGACGTTATTTGGACGGAAAAACGATGGTTTGAAAACGTCCAAATAACGTCGTTTTTCCGTCCAATGACCATAAGCGGAAAAAAACCGACGTTTTCGTGTTTGCAGTGTAAGGATGCCACTGTCTTAAATATACATGTTAAAAACTAGTAAGCACTATTTCTATGGTTTACTATTTCTATAGCAGAATATGCAGGTACAATTTACTGACGAAGAACTGGACGAAAGGTTTGGTTTAAATGCAGTAAAGTCACATGCCACATCTTAATGTCATTCCATACAATAAACACTTGCGACCAAATACGTATTCATGGTGATAGTGTTTACAGAGATCGAGTTTCTGTGCCAGTTATATAATGATAAACTTATACAGCCTTTCAAAAAGCAATAATTCATTAAATAAAAATTGATGTAATGCTCAAGCCATAGCTTCGTCACGTCCTTATACGATAACAATAAAAACGTGAATCCATACACTTTTAGGTTAATCATATTGGTTCTACCATGATGTTAGCCTGTTCTGGATTCTGATGTGGTCAGTCAAACTGAATCAGAGGTATCAAAGGAGTGTAAGTTGTCTCGTACGAAAGTATCAATATAACATCAGTCGGTAAAATACTTCGAACATTTATACCATCAAATCTAAGTGGACTTAACAAATAATGAATAATTAATATTTCGGTGTGAAATGCAATTAAATTGGTTATGGACCGCGAAATAATGCTTAATTTCACATATAAATCTAGTATGAAAGGTTTTTAATGCTGCGTTTGTTGCTTTCAACTGTCGTTTGTTTCGTGGCGTTCTTGTACAAAATCCCACCCCTTTCATATTATCATCGTTGAAAGCAAAGAGTTCATACGCAATTCTCACTATGTTCACATAATTATATATTCTCTCAATTAAAAACAAAGTAGTTTTGTTTCCAAAATAACACGATCTATTGTTGAAGTTGCCAGAATACTTATAGATAAATAGTCATTGGATTTGTCATTGTGAGTCGTATATAGTGTTTCCAACATCACTCTTATTGGAACAAGAAGTATATTGACACTGTATTCATATATGAACCGTTCACATTTATTTGTAGTAAGATAACTAAAAACGAGTCAAGAGGCGTCACTCTATTATCTAACAGAACCCTAAACGAATTAACAGACATTAAAACGGTAAGTTTTCGAAATATAATCAATACCCCATTCTACAGTTCAATATTTCTCTAGTGCATGCTCGCCTCAGACTCGGGTTTAGTTATGTAACTGGTCATGTGTAAGATTTATATCTGAATGCTTGATGAACACAACGGATCCAATTCTGTTTTAGTGCATGGAAATTACAGTAAAGTTAAGATCTATAATAACTGGTTGCGAACTAGTTACAGTTTTATAATTTCCCTGTATCAAGAAGAAAAGATTTGGCATAATGCTCAGGTCGGCAATTAATGGTTGGCAGTTTTATCTCTTTCTAGAGTGATAGCTTTCATTATGGAAGAATGATATTTGAATTTCACACTTTCTAAAGTGACGGTTATCTGAAGATTGTCAACATATTCATCTTTTGAATTCCGATTACCCTCACGTGTATCTTATCATAACATTTTACGCATAAGTCTTTATTGGTTCTCGCTATTGGTGAAATTGTGCCGTCTATGTACGACTATGATATTTTTAATATATCATAGTTCAAAAGACGTTCTCGTCAACTACGGACATACCCAATGTCGTATTCTCGTTATGAAAAACCTACCTCGCAGTCGTGAAATGGTATCAAGGACACTAAACTAATTAAATATTTTATCTGGGAGTGGTATAGCCGGAGTTGTACTGAGACATTTCAGAAATTAACATACTCTCGACTCACATTCACTTTCGACAACTTAGACAGTAGTTTCGTATGGTATGAAAGCAACTTCTAAATCTGTTTGAAAAATCGCAAAGAAAAGCTGTTTACATGTAACGCATTGCCATCTAATCTACATCATATCGTCAAACAAGACATTGTTTTCAGCTTTCATTAATCAATATCTTCTACGCAACATAACATCTACATGGGAGAAGTAAAATGATTACTTACTTATTCAGTTGTTAATCCGGCCCTCTCCAGAAACTTGACCAGTTTCTTAATCTACGATGAATGGCAACTTGAGCAGGCAGCTGGGCAAACACAGGAATGTGATGATTGTTGAAGCATACCAATCAGGGTATACTCTGCCGCTGAGGAGAACGTGTCATATAGCACCAATGACCTACCACGTGACATAGCGAGCAGTCACGTGATATGTTACGCGCGAGAAGTTAATTCCATGGTGTGCAATAGTCTTCATTCCAAACTGACGCCATCTTTCAGTGCTTTTATACAAACAACATTATATTTTATTCATTTAGTTTTTACTTACCTTTTTTAAATAAAATTCACTTTCTGTGAAGCAGACGTTAAATAAACGAAAGAAACAACTCATTTTAGTATCTGAAGTAATCCTTAACTTATTATCTTAAAACTCACCTCTAGTTTTTACATAATATTCAGTTAGATTATTTACCATATCTTGTTTTGTGTTTGTACCCGTCGGGCACATCCCATTTGTGAAGCCGATGTTGAATGATGATGTGACACTCCCACTCCAAATAAAGGGGATAATAGAATATAAATATTTCAGATAACACTTACTGTTACCTTTAATAAATCTTTTCCTTGTTGTTGTTTTTAATGAATAAAAATAGCTTTTTGGGGTGATTTTTTTGTATCTAAAGATAGTAACCCGGCATGATGAAAGGACAATGTATGAAACGATGAAACAGAAGCAACATATATAACGGAATACGGTTGGTCCTTATAGCCTTCTGTTCTATTTGTAGGAACAGACTAAGCAAGAATGCTTCGCTGTGAACTTAATTTTTTCAGTGAAACCCCTATCAAAATACTACCCTTGTTTCTCTTTTCAAAGATTCTAGTTTTCACCTGTTTTGTCTGGTTTAAATTTAACAGTTTTTATTCAGAAAGGCCATACGCCTTTCATACGACAATTCACTGCAATAATGATGAGAAAAACAGATTGAGTTATATCATTGTAGATACAATTACTGGTAGCTGCATATTATATTTTGGCACTATTTACCACGAAAAGACCAAATCATGAGCAAATTTAACTGAAATGTAAAGTGGCTACTCTTTATATTTATTTTCTTATCTTCCTTGTCTATAATCATATGACATTGCCTATGAAATTTGAATAAATAAACAAATATTTTGTTTTCCCATACCGACTGACGATTGTCGTAGAACAAAGATCGTTTCTACAATAGAGGGCCTCATTAGTAATATTTGAACTAATATATTATATTTTGTAAACGCTTTTGCTGGCTGTGACCTAGGCAAACCATGATGTTTTTAGAAGAATCTGCTTTGTTTTAATCACAATCACTGATCCAAACATGTGCGCCAATATGTTAATCCTTCAATAAGATTATCTTATCGTGAGAAGAAAGGTGCCGTTTATGAACTGTGCGTTGCGACTCAACGTTCAACTGAATTGTGAAAACATTTTAGTATTGGGCAGAGACGTCCACATTATACAAATTCTCACTTCCGTTTAAAAAATCCAAAATGCATATATACTTAGACGTCTGATGGCCAGTTACGTTTGAAACGCGTTGAAAAAAGGCTGTTCATTATCTTGGATCGACTTTTTGCAATGGAAGAGGCATCACTGCATGGAATTTGGTCAGAGTCAGGAGAAAGCTCAGGTAAGACCAAATATCTACATATTTATTTATGTAAAGACATCGGTTTATTTCTGTGTAAATCACCATATAGAGGAGATACATTATCGTTCGATATTATTATATTATGCAAAACATCACACATAAGATTATGAAATGTTTTCCCTTTCTGAGATATTGCTCATATCTGACAAATATACATACATTGTAAAGGAATCGTTTAGTGCCATATACATGAATATAGAAATGTAATGACTACTCTATTAACATAAGACGTTCGATATAGAGTTGTGAACGGACCTAACAATTTACATCTACCATCTTTTATTATCTCTGTCGCAGAAAGCACACTTCGTTGTGAACTGCAGTGTTATAGTGAGAACCTTTGACACAGAAGACAATTATTTCTAAAATATGTTCTAAAATAACGTATCGCTTTACCGTATGCATGTACATAGTATAACGTTAGTTGTTATCTATTAGATTTTTGATCCCCGTACATTGCTAAAACTGCACAATGCGACACCCGGGTATACGACTATTAAAAAACCTCCAATACAACAATGTTGATAAACAAAGATTATTTGTGATATCTACAAGCAGTGTCACAATAAAACTGAAGATTTTGATTTTGTATCGCCTATGAAAAGTAATTTATTCTGCAAACATGCAGTGCCACGGAAACTCTAACTATCTTTTATTAAGAAGCTGCATATGTGTTATTTCGTTTAAACAATTTGTAACTACAGTTTGAATCCCCTTTTTAACATGGACATATTATACACTTGATGAGATTGTTTGCGCGGCTCAGTTCTCAGTTCACATGTTTGACAAATGGCACTATAAAACGTTGGTAAAAATATCAAAAACAGCCTTTTTAATTTGGAATAGTATATGCCCAATGACGGTTTGGCAGAAACCACAAAAAAGTATAGATTGTCAATAACATGTCGCACATACCGGGCCCTAGTTCAAGATCAAAGATAATTGCCGCCTTGGAATGTCTAGCGGAATGATTGACACCTGTTATCACTGTAAATGTCTTGTCAAGGCTTGACTAACGATGACTCAACGCCAATTTAAAGAGGACATTACCACATGTTTATTGATAAACATTGAGAATAACCATAGACAGTATGGCGCCGCTTAATTTGACTGTCTGCCGCTTTCACACTGATTTGACAATATGCATAGGTAACACGCGTTACTGCCGCATGAGTTTGTTATTTTCTATGATGGGTAGTGATACGTGTGCGATTTATTTGCAATGAAACTTAGCCAATTCTCTATGACATCGGCATTTGTGCACGGGAACCACGGCGTGTATGTTTATTTCTCTCAAATCGTAAACGTAATTATTAATTACTACAGTCACCTACTACAATATTTTGGGTTATTTGTCATTTGGATATTTTCTTAATAACTTAAGACAAATAATTGATATATGAATTATTTATATTAATATGAATTCAGGCTCTTGAAATAGAGTTTATTAACATCATTCCTCTATTTGGCTGGCATTTTGAGTAGATTGTTCTGACTAAATCTAGTTCCACCATGCAAACTACATGTTTTCCTCTGAATTTATAATCAGTATCTCTTCAATTGTAATTATTCTACCTGCGTTTTATGTTATAAGAAAACCGAACAGTTATCATCATTCGATAGGACAAAGGCTTAACTATGCTTCTTACCCAAACTACCAAACTAAGTATTCAGATGTGTGACCATATCCCTACAAACACGCTAAAACCAAGCAATCCCATTTCACTTACATATTGTTTGAAACACATGCTAGTCAATCGCAAAATACTGATTCGCATTTTAGATTCAAGGTAAGCAATGCATTATATACTTACAACATATTTATCATGTTCAATTTAAGGATCCGAATACCAGATCGACGAGGAGGACAAGAGTGACACATCGTCGGAATTTGCCACCAATTACCAGGTATTAATTGAAATAGTGAATAGATTATTCACTGATTATCCGGGGAAGTTAACAATTTTTGATTTAAACAATATTTCATTCGGAAATAATATAACGATACAGAATAGGGAAAAGGTGAACCGAAAACTAAATATCTATACTAAGTCTAACATCTTTCCTCTTACAATAATGTACGCAGTAACTATATTCTAATGTAAATGAATAACATTTTGTAAAAAGGAAATACGGTGAGACAGTTAAGTAATGTTGTATCATTTATTTCGGTTTCTTCATGTCCCAGGAAACTATACGCTGATCTCTTGTAATAGAGTAACATGAATGTTTTATTAGTAGACTGAATGTGTGTCTGTATGAACTGAATTGTATCATCATAGTGTTGACCCAAAAGGAATATCGCCAAGGTGAACGAGACAAAAATATTGAAAAAAATCATAGAGTAGGTTAGGAAAAAAAGTCATGGGAAAAAAATCATAAACAATAAAATCTGTATGCATATCAGTTTTATTCAAGTAACAACAAGTGATCTGAAGACTAAATAAATAAAGTCCTGTTCTGTTCTGAAGACGCCGTCATGATTAGTTGGCGCCAGCCTAGACTGTCCAATCAACGTGAATATACAAACCGTGATGTTACTTGACCAGTTGATGGCACCTGTCAAACTCAAAGTGCCCCTGGTCCTCCACCCACCATGTGTAATACTTTAGCGCACTTGAACGTTTTATGTGCAGCTATATCACTGTTAGGCTGAGTGATGAGAGAATAAATTTGGTCGTTTTTGTTAACGATCGTTTTTATGTTCAACCTGGTAACCTTATAAGTGACTAACTGTTTTATCATGATGAAATGAAACATAAAAAAATAATCAGAGGGAATGACGGTCGCATTTTTCGCATACATGTCATGCTCGCATTAATTTCATGATTTACTCAAGATAGATTTGAGCAACGATCATGTTTGGGTAAGGGAGATAATTTTGTCTCCGCTTGCAATTGGTTTCAATCGGACGAGCAGCTCCGAGATCGCAGCTTGACTGTTCGGTACGGCCGAAACGCGGCATCCATGTTGTTCACGCTCCTTAGATCACGCGGCCTCATTGGCCTGACGAGACATAGCTCTACATGCCACTATCGCTTTGCTTCAGTTTCTGCCAGTCTATACCTTTCTTGAATCAATTAACGATTTCATTGTCAAAGTGGTCTGATTTCAGTAATGTTAATGAAATCGGTGTTGTAATATATTATAAACTTGAACATTGTGCACTATCTGTTATACATCTGTCAGTTATATATGTAATATTCATATTGTCAGGGATTGTTTTACTAAATGTGTTAACACTTATATCACCCGTTTACATCATCTGCTGCTAGTGTCGAAAACAAGTGTTTGACGAATTCAAGTTTTACCGCATAACCATATTGTGGAAACATTTTAATTTTGTATTTGGTCTCATCGTAGAGTCCAGTCAAGCGCAAGAACAAAATCTTGAGACAAAGGGAAGAAAATGGAAAAAAGAATAGATTAGGAAGCGGTCC